GATTATCGTACGATAATCGTGCAGTGTATGGGCACCTTAATTTGGTAGTGACTGTACAGGCCCTCATTAGGGTGCAGCTGGACCTAGCAGGGCAGTGTGTGTGCTGGAGGCACATGAGGCCCAAGCCAGGTGGTGTGGTGGAGCCGCACAAGGAACAGCCAGGGAGGCTTGTAGGATTTGAAAAAGCTGAGAGGTAGGCACACAAGGTGTGTGTCTCAGGAAAAGAGACAGTGATGAATGCAGCAAGCGTTTTTGGATCTAAACCTGTCAGGACAGGAATCTGCAGATGGACTGTAATTCCCACAGAGGATACGGACCCAGCTCAAATGACGAGCACATGGAATTAGTCTTGCGGTGGTTGTACAGGGATTAAAAAAAAGTACGATCTGCCTATCTTGGACAGGCAGATCGCACTCTCGATCATCGCAAGCCCGGCCCCCTGAGGGGCGGGCTTCCGATGACCGCAATGCTGAACGGGCAGTGTGCGCGTGCGCACACCGGCCCGTTCGGCATTTGTCTTCCGAGCACAAGCACCGTTCTAACCAGCCGAGAATCGTAAGATTCCCGGCTGGTTTTCGAACATGCTGGTTCGACAGAAGACGTGCGACCGTACAGTAGAAACGGTCGCATGTCTCAGTTCACACTGCTCGATTATCGTACGAAAAACCGATCGCATACGATTATCGTACGATAATCGTGCAGTGTATGGGCACCTTAATTTGGTAGTGACTGTACAGGCCCTCATTAGGGTGCAGCTGGACCTAGCAGGGCAGTGTGTGTGCTGGAGGCACATGAGGCCCAAGCCAGGTGGTGTGGTGGAGCCGCACAAGGAACAGCCAGGGAGGCTTGTAGGATTTGAAAAAGCTGAGAGGTAGGCACACAAGGTGTGTGTCTCAGGAAAAGAGACAGTGATGAATGCAGCAAGCGTTTTTGGATCTAAACCTGTCAGGACAGGAATCTGCAGATGGACTGTAATTCCCACAGAGGATACGGACCCAGCTCAAATGACGAGCACATGGACTCCGTAAGGCTCAGTGGAGCAGATCTTTATGTTTGATAACAATTGTGTTGGCTGAATGCCTTTCATTTGTATGTTTACTGCTGTCCTGAATAAAAGTTGTACATTTGTTGAAGAAACAGTAAGTTTGTCTCAGCCATGAGACCAGTCCCCCACAATGGTATTCATGCAGACTTGTTAAAGTTTCTGAAAGGTCAAAAGGCATAGCACCTATTATAATGAGATATTTACCCATTTCCTATGTAATTTCGTGAACCACAACATTCACAAAGAAAACTTCAACAGAAGCACACACAAAAATAAAAAGTGTCAACAAGGTCACATGAGTTGGAGGCAACATATTAGCACTGGGAAAATAAAAAATACAGTCAGGTAGATAGATACACAGACAGACATAGAACCGCAATTAAATAATAAAAATATAGAAAAAAACATGATCAGGCTGAAAAATACACAAAGACTCACAGGTTAGTAAGATGTAAACAATAGCACCCATTTTTGAAGCACAGGGTTAAGACCTCAATCAAATATTCTGCTGACTTGGCTAAAAATACAAATTCTAGAGGCAGCTGCATACATAGTCCCACCTCAACCTAACCACTCAACCACTCCATGACATTCTCAAACAACTCATCCCCACACATCACTTGACCCTTCCTTTTAGATTGGAAGCCCTCAGGGGCAGGGCCCTCTACCATCTTGTCTTGAATTGTATTGTGATTGGAATGTCTTCCTTATATTGTAAAGCGCTGTGCAAACTGTTGGCACTATATAAAACCTGTATAATGAGTCACATTGAGGGGAATGTATCAAAACTGGAGCAGACAAAATATGGAGCAGCTGTGCACAGTGACAAATCAGCTCCACTGTTTATTTTCAAATCTTAACTGAACAAACTGGAAAGAGAAGCTGCTTGGTTGCCATGGCCAACTGCCCCAGATTCTGTCTGCTCCTGTTTTGATAAATTCACCTCATTGTCTTTCCCTCCTGTGATATGGTAAAAAAACATGCAACATTTTAGTAGGCAGCAGGCATGCAAAGCGAAGTAAGGCAAATCAAGAACAGTAAGTGAATCGGCATCAGGATTCACATGTTCAGAAGACACTGTTACTTTGATATAGAAAGATCACCTTGAAAGAGATACCATGCAACACAAGTCTAAAGCTGAAATGACATCGCACTTGATTGATAACAGTTGAGGAAACCCAATATAAAATGCATTTAGATAGAGGGAACACCAAAACTTCTTCTAAACATATGTAAAATGAAAAGTATATAACAACTGATCAATAGCGAAATTTGTAAACCTCTTCTAAATATGCATTTTGGAATGTTGCAACTTGCTTCCACAAGTTATAAATAAACTACTAAATAATACATCGAAACTAGGGGTTGACCAATATAATGTTGTCAGAACCAATACCAATTATGGACCAACTATTCAGGCCGATTACAGATATCGGGTGTGTGTTCCTCTGCCAATGCAAGATTCTGCGCGGTTTACATCTGGCTGCAGAACCTTGCGTCAGCAGAGGAACACACAGTATGGTGACTGGGCTATGTGTCCATCTGCCGCCGGCTAGATTCTGCAACTGGCAGCTGAATGTAAACAGCAGGCAGTGCAATAGCCAGCCTGCTACTGGCTATTTTAATTTGCAATAAAGAATAGCAGGCCGACTAGTGCGCCTACCCACTGTCTGCTGTCAATTAGCAGAGGAGGCCATGAGAAAGTTCTTTCAGGCCCACTCCTCTGCTTCAGCGTCAGGACGCCTACCAGCAGGGGTTCCACTTTATCGGCACTTATTGGTAAATTTAAGACCAATACTGATTTAAAAATGTGTGAATAAATCTGCCATAATTAGAAGATCCAATAATCGGTCGAACCCTACTCGAAAAGCCCATTTTTGACCCTGCTATAGCAAAATCAGCATTTCTTGAAACTGTATTGGCGGACTGAAATTAGTGCAACACTCAAAGTTTAGGGCTTACAAATAAAACCTCTAAAATGTAACTTTTCATAGGTCCCATAACGCCATACACAGTTTATAAAACACAACACTTTTAAGCAACCATGCGAGGTGAAAGTCACAAATTTCAACTCAGGAGGCAGGGCAGTTTTGGGCAAAAGACAGGCAGTTGCCTACTTTATTCAAATTGATCAATCTGTTTGCTCTAGGTAGCGGCTTCACTTGTACACCAATTTTCTTTAAACTGACCTTTATAAGTTGTTATGCTGATATAACAAAATAAAGAGTTCTGACTGATCCGTGCCCATCAGTGTGATAGCCCATCATACACACGCACAGCCTAATTTTGCTCCAACTTGGTCTTTACAAATTCTGCTCCACGGCTACTTCAAGTGTAGCTATTGACACTGCTTCCTTACCACCTATTAATTACCACTCTATTAATCTTTCCCTATATTTTCAACTTCACTTTATCAGAATGCCTGTAGAGCTGCAACTAATGATTTTCATAATTGATTAGTTGCCAGATTATTTTTTCAATTAATCTGATAAAAATAAATAAATACCATCCTTAATTTAAAATAAAATACACAAATGCAGGGTTAGATTTTTTTAGTTTACTTCAGAATAAAACTGCATGCACAACGTTTAGCAATCGCACTGCACTGGAACGCACGCCATTGCGGTACCGTGCGTTCCAGTGAGGGCAATCACACTGTGGGTGGGAGGCACGTTTGGGGTGCCATTGAAATGAATGACAACGCACTTTGTGCAGCTGAATTTGTCAGGCCCAAACCAAAAATGACTTCTCCCACCTTTTATACATTTTTAAAAATAATTGTTCTATAAGCACAAGATGCAGGAATAGCTTCCCCCAGGGAATGACAGCTGCCAGTGGCAAGACTCCGCAGATGGCATGGCCATTTCAAATTTGCAATAGCAGGCTGGCTATTGCACCCGCCCACTGCTTGCTGTGCCCTCCCGCCGTGGAGGAGAGAGCTAGGGGATACAATCAACTAATAAAGGATAATAGTTGATAACTATTCTCATTTTCGATTATTATCGATTTGTTGGTTGCAGCCCTAATTGCTTGGCTTGTTCTACAGCACATCCTTTACCCAACACACTAGTTGGGAAGCAGTGTGGGATAAAATTGCCAACTCTCCCTTAAGTTTTCTAAAATGATATAATCCACCAAAATCCTTTTAGTGATATAGCAGTAGTGAAATTAAACTGTCAAATATAATAGATTAAAGTATCTTTAGGCTCCGTTTCCATCTGTGTCACATGGCAGAGATGTGAATAGGGGATAGGGGTTAGTGTGGTAAGTTCTCTAACATCTGCCTTTTTGGAACATAAAACTACATAGGCATACTCAGACACAGATGGTGCACCTATTTGCAGGTCATCCAGTACAATATCATTAAAAGAACTGAGCATTGCAGTATTGTGCTTCAGACTCTAATCTTCACATTAAAATTGTTCCCCATGTTAATTAACAAAACTACAGCTTTTAGCACAACTTCTAAAGATAAGGACAGTCAAACACATTCACTGTATATTGTGGTATACACACAAAAGTACCCCAATAGCAAAAAGGGCAAACCCAACCATGTATATAATTAAAAATGCAGCTGAAACAAGGGTCATAAAACATTAATACATGGTGGCATTAATATTTACATTAAAGGTCTCAAATTCTCACATTCAAATAAAATGAATCACATAACGTTACTAGTAGAACATATTTTAAAGAATTCACCTCAATATAGGACCGAATAGTAAAATTACAGGTTTAGCACTGGACAAATCCACCAATCAGCTAGCTAGCTCTCATTCATTTACTGCTGCTGTTTAACTTTTCACAGCCTTTTCTCTTTTTGTAAGGGGAAGTAAAAGTTTTGTGGCTTCTTGAAACTGCCTGTTGGCTTCTAAAATGTTCAGGCTTGGCTTTTGTAATCTGCTAATAACCTTCTTCATAATATATACAGTGTTGTCATATAAAATTGTCTTACCATAGCAAACCCAACATCGGCTTTCTTCAAGGCAGGTCCGTCATTGGTCCCATCACCAGTTACTGCTACCACTTGTCTCTGTTCACAGATGGTGCTGTCAATAATTCCTGAAAAGAAAAAATAAAGAGATCAGCATGAAAAAGACAGCAGAAAAGCAAAGTGTTAGATATACAAACATGTGGATTTTGAAAGTGGTATTCCGGGGTATTTTAACCTATGATACTCTTTTTTTTGTGTGTCAAGTAGCAGAGAGAATAGTACGTTACAACGTGCTTTGACCTCAATGCTACTAAGCAACATCATTGTGCTGCACAGCACTGCCATCCAATTGACTTATTGTTTTAAACTTGAGCCCAAGGAGCCCCTGTATTATGGTTTAAACCCCTAGCAACTCCAATTCCAGTTGCTTTACTGATTACCGCTGCAATTACTAGCCCAATGGTTCTGAATAAAAACTAAGTGACATTAAACCCTCAGATTTTTTAACAAACAAATACTGTAATCAATGGTTGTTTCCCTTCTCTTTGCTGCTCTTCCTTTTAAATCTGTATCTGTTCTCATGCTGGGCAGAACTTCTGTTTTGCAGCAGACTGCCTTGTCTCAGGAATGGATACACGGTGTCTGTGTATAGGTTTGTATAGGTTTGTAACCTGAGCCAGCACTACAGGAAGAGGCACTGAGCTGAAAAGGGAAGTTCTCACCAAGCATGAGGAGACATGAGGATTTAAAAAGGAAGAGCATCAAAATGAAGGGAAACAACCTTGGATTACAGTAAGGCACACATTACAGTATTGGTGTATGTTAAAAAATCTGAGGGTTTAATGTCACTTTAATTCACAGTCAGAGTTCAGCATGAAAAGAAACAAACCGTGCATCCAAAAACAAAATGCAGACACATAAACCGCTTTTCCTATAGCTTATGGATTTGTTTCCTGTAATTCTAAGCAAATCAGAAGGTAATTTTTTGTCATAAAAACTAAAACAGTGAGTTTATTCTCATTATGCTCAAATGAGAAATCAATGTTTGAGGTTTAGATCAACAGCCAAATAAAAGTAAACTAATGAACAGGATACTTTGTAACCTTTACACATATCTAGTTCTTATCTAAAAAAGTTACCTACCGATACCTTTTACATTAAAGCCTAATGTCAATGCCCATGTGAAATTGCAATTAAAATCACCAGTTCCAAGAATCTATTTTATGATTATGCATGTGAAAAAAAAACCCCATACAAAATAGCAATCCAGCAAGTAATATATTCTTACCTTTTACCAATGTATGCTTATCAGTTGGAGATGATCTAGCGAGAACACGAAGCTTAGGCCAAAGTTTATCTATTCGTTCTTGTTCAATCTGCCACATGAAAATAGTATTAGGAGATTGTACAAAATAACAGGAAGAAAAAAAGGGGAAAGAAGAATATTTACTTCTCCTTTTTCATTTCGTATTCGCCTATTGAATTCTTTTCCTTCTACACAAATGAAGTCCTCCCCAGGGTTAAGAATTCCACATTTTGTGGCAATAGCACGGGCTGTGTTAATGTTGTCCCCCGTTACCATTCGGACCGTAATACCTGCTCGTTGACATTTTCTTATTGCGTCTGGCACCTTGGATACAAGAGATAAAACTACACTCAAGTACATGCTATAAACCGGCATAAACTGTCAAGCACCTGAAGTGTTATCACATAAGCCTTAAGCATAATACTTGATATTTTTTGGTGGTGTACATTAGCAAAATATTGCTGTGAATACCAGTCAAGCATCTGGACTCACCATTTAAATGCTAATGGTAAACAGGATAAGAGCCAAATTTAAACCACAAAGTTCAAGTGCATAATCTTATTTAAATTTGAGAAGCATGTTAATTATTCAGCTCTGACAAGATCTCTTTGCTCAAGCTTGTTAAATGCCTCTAGAACCCCAACACTAGGATATCCTGACCCACTGCCAAATCCCAAGGGGAAACACTGATCATGACAGAAACTACTTGGCTTTAGGGAAAATAGAACAAGCTGACAGACAAGACTGACATAATAGTGAGGAAACCAGCAGTTAACCCTCACAGTGGGGAGAGGGAACTGCCGCAAAGGTTTTTTTTCCCTGGTTCATCTATAAAGCCTTACTCCAGCCTAAACGTTTTGTTCTAGTTTCACAATTTATGTCAGGTTTTATTTTGGGATATTTCCCTACTTCCGGTCTACAACACCAATGGAAGTAGGTGTGAGGTCACAGAGACAATGGCACAGACAGCATAAAAAAAACCCTGACAGATGTTAACCCTTTAAACCTGGCTGGAGTTGCCCTGTTAACATCAAGGCTTTTGTTTATGTTGCAGAGACTACAGACCACGAGATTTGAGCTCACGCTCAAACCTATATTCTAGACATAAATAACTAGATACTTTCAGCACCTCCATATCATAGATGGACCACTTCCACTATAATAATTTCAATACACCTTTTTTTTTTTTTAACTGACCTCTGGTCTCACTGGGTCCTCAATGCCTACAACAGCAATACAGGTGAGCCCAGTAAGTATATCATTTTCATTTTCCCAATCAGGCTCATATTCCTCAGTAGGAAAGTCTCTATAAGCCAAGCATATGGTCCGCAGCCCCTCAGATGCCATAGGTTCAATCACGCTCTTAACCATATCATCTCTATCCCGTGGCCTAAAAATTTTGGCTTCACCATTTGCAGTAAGAACTTTGCAGCACCTGTAAAAAGAGAAAAAAAATGGCAAAATAAGCACAACGCCACTGCAAATGCATAATAGCAAATCACTAGATAAATTTACAGAAAAAAGAAATACCAACATTTAATATAAAGAAAAGCAAACCCTCAATAAAAACTTACCCTTACTTTTTAGCAATACCATATCTACATGAAATTGTATAAGTGACATACCAGTTATACTTAAATTATGTTGTTTTTGTGAGGTGGAAGGAAGTTAGCAACAAGCAGGAAAATATATTTCATCTGTCCCACATTCCATTCTTACAAGCAAGATCTTGCTCACACGTGAATATTAATTTTCTTTTATACACAGGACATACATGATCTGTTGTAAAACAATTATTTTCAGCAACAAACCCAAATATTGGGAAGTGACAGTTGGCCATTTTTATTACCAGCTGTACACAGACAGCAAGAGGTTAATCTTAACTCCATCTTACTTACCATGCACATATCAGTTAATCAGAAAATTGTGGCAGACTTCTGCAAGCACAGTTCTTGTATGACAGAACTTTTCAAGTCATTTGATTTATTGGTATGTCATTTTAAAATCTTTATGTAGTCACCTAGTTTTCCAATACGGTCAGAATCGGCTATATAAAATGAACGTATTTGCTAGTAAAATGGATACCTTTGCTAAACTACTCCCAAATGAGGGCATACACCTTTATAATCCCTCACAGACATAACATCGATGGCACCATAGCAGCCATTTTACTGAAAGTGTAAGGGCTTGTTCACACCAAGCGCGGAGCAGACCCAGAGCAGAGCAGTTACAGACCGGATCAAAACTGCGTCCAATGTATTCCAATGGTATTTTTTGCTCCAGTTCACATCGCAGCGTGCAGTTGCAGAGCAGATCCAGAGCAGGTGAAAAAGCTGCAGCAGGCCCTATTTTACCTGCTCTGGAACGCATCAAAAACGCATGCCAATGCCTGGGACCCACTGAAAGCCCATTTTAAAAACTTTAAAAAAAAAACTGGTCTAAAAGACTAGCGTGCGTGTGCAGAAACCTGACCGGATCTGCTCTGCATTTGGTGTGAACAATGCCTTACACACTGGTATTCTGCAATATGAACATGTTTACTAAACCATTAACAGATTCATAAAAACTGCTTACGGAGAGAACGAAAAAGGTTAAGCAGAAACATGCAGCTTGTAGGGCAAAACATTCAAGGCTTAATTTCCCCAGATATTCAATCCTACTGATCACCAATGTAAATGTGGAAATATAGGAACACGTTGCAACAAACAGTCCAATGTAAATGCAGTCCAATAAAAACAGTCCAATAAAAACAGGGTAAACAGTCCAATGTAAATGCAGGCATACACAAATGGTAAGAGCTCATAGAGCGGCATTTATCAGCCGTCTCGCTGACACAATCAAGTGTATCAACTGCAAACCAGAACGCCTCTCATTCTGCATGTATTGGCCAGCCAAATGTACTTTCTATTCACACATTTCCAATAGATTTATCATTGCACATGTGGTCATTTCCATTTAAAACCAATGCACAGCCAAGAAATCGGGTACAAGAAATGTTCAGGCTCGCATACGATTTGCACTATAGCAGATGCAGGAATGTTACATGATAAACCCTCAGCCACATACACACTGCTTGAACACAAAGAAAGTCAAACACCTGACTTACAGAAGACAATCTTTAGAGAATTCTTTCAAACGGCTTTCTAGTTTCCTGTTTGAGAGGTTGTACAGGTGAAACTCGATTAGAATATCGTGCAAAAGTATTTCACTAATGCAACTTAAAAGGTGAAATATATGAGATAGACTCGTTACATGCAAAGCAAGATAGTTCAAGCCGTGATTTGTCATAATAGTGATGATTATGGCTTACAGCTCATGACAAAATTAGAATATTGTGAAAAGGTGCAATATTCTAGGCTCAAAGTGTCCCACTCTAATCAGCTAATTAAGCCATAACACCTGCAAAGGGTTCCTGAGCCTTTAACCAGTTGCCGTCCGCCCGTTGTAAAAAACACGGCCCTGCAGCATTGGCGGGTTGCATTTTTTTTCTGCACGGGCAGAAAAGATCCGACCAATGCTCTATAGCCTGCCGATCGTCTATATGTGCTCGTTTTTTCGGCCGCCCCCCCCGGCCCCTCACCTTCAATCCTGGGATCCGCTGCCCCATCTGCGGCCCGGGATCGGGCGTCAGGAGGAAGAGGAAGGGAGATCAGCTCCTTGCTGACCTCCCTCCGGGCTGTGAATGCAGAAGTGATGTGTATTACATCACTTCCGCATTCATCTGTCAGTCATCTGGCTGCTATAGCCAGAGAGAAGAAGCTGATGAAGCAGATCTCTGCTTCATCAGCTTCTTTTGGGGTCCACAGGTGACATTAGGGGTCCTAGAGACCCCTAATGTCTCCATAAAGAGGACCTGTCAGTGTGCCTTTGCTATTATATAGGGGGATTGTTATATAATAGCAATAACAAGTGCAAAAAAATATATAAAAATAAAAAAAATAAAAGTCACATATAAGTAAAATAAAATAAGGTCACATATAAAAAAAGGAAAAAAAAAACCCCAAAATTTTTAACTCCCACGTTTATGCAGATATAAAACGTAAATACGCATCCGGTGCCCCAGCGCGCAAAAACGAAAATTGCGCTACACGTTACATATCGCCACGAACGTCGCAGTGAGAGCAATCATTTTAGGGCCATCAATCACTGATAACACTAAACTGATAAAGCGGTAAAAGCTTTTAAAGCGTCGCCTATGGCCAATTTAGGGTATTATCGTTTGAGGTTTCGCGCGCGCACACAATTTTAAGGCTTGACATGTTTGGTGTCTTTTTACCCGAGGTGACCCCGTCTTTTATATTTTACCCAAAAATTGGGTAATAAATGTTTTATCATTTAATATAGGGGGAACTGTTTTGTTTTTCAATTTCGGTAATTTTTCCTTAATATAGTAAAAAAATAAAAACCCCAGTGGTGAATAAATACCACCAAAATAAAGCTCTATCTGTCCCCAAAAAATGATATAAAATTCATTTCAGTACAGCGTTGCATGACGGAATAAATGTCAGTCAAAGTACCGCGGCGTTGAATACTGAAAAATGGCCTGGATGGGAAGGGGGTTTAACACAGCGGATGTCAACTGGTTAAATGGTCTCAGTCTGGTTCAGTAGGAATCATAATCATGGGAAAGACTGCTGACCTGACAGTTGTGCAGAAAAACATAATTGACACCCTCCATAAGGAGGGAAAGCCTCAAAAAGGTAATTGCAAAAGAAGTTGGATGTTCCCAAAGTGAACATCTCAAAGCACATTAATAGAAAGTTATGTGGAAGGGAAAAGTGTGTAAACTCGTCTGACCTGAACCCCATAGAGCAGGGGTGCCCACAATTTGTTGTGTTAAGACCTACTTTTCAAATGACGAGCTACATGAGATCTACCAACGAAAAAAAAACTCCCTCGCTCTCTCTCTCCTGGCTGTCTCTATTTGCTCTCTCTCCCCTAGCTGTCTCTCCTTGCTCATCCTCCTCGCTCTCTCTCCTTGTTGTGTCTCTTGGCTGTCTCTTCTTGCTCTCTCTTCCTGGCTGTCTCTCCTGTCTCTCCCCGCTCTCTTTCCTGGCTGTCTCTCCCCGCTCTCTTTCCTGGCTGTCTCTCCCCGCTCTCTTTCCTGGCTGTCTCTCCCCGCTCTCTTTCCTGGCTGTCTCTCCCCGCTCTCTTTCCTGGCTGTCTCTCCCCGCTCTCTTTCCTGGCTGTCTCTCCCCGCTCTCTTTCCTGGCTGTCTCTCCCCGCTCTCTTTCCTGGCTGTCTCTCCCCGCTCTCTTTCCTGGCTGTCTCTCCCCGCTCTCTTTCCTGGCTGTCTCTCCCCGCTCTCTTTCCTGGCTGTCTCTCCCCGCTCTCTTTCCTGGCTGTCTCTCCCCGCTCTCTTTCCTGGCTGTCTCTCCCCGCTCTCTTTCCTGGCTGTCTCTCCCCGCTCTCTTTCCTGGCCGTCTCTCCCCGCTCTCTTTCCTGGCCGTCTCTCCCCGCTCTCTTTCCTGGCTGTCTCTCCCCGCTCTCTTTCCTGGCTGTCTCTCCCCGCTCTCTTTCCTGGCTGTCTCTCCCCGCTCTCTTTCCTGGCTGTCTCTCCCCGCTCTCTTTCCTGGCTGTCTCTCCCCGCTCTCTTTCCTGGCCGTCTCTCCCCGCTCTCTTTCCTGGCCGTCTCTCCCCGCTCTCTTTCCTGGCCGTCTCTCCCCGCTCTCTTTCCTGGCTCACCTGGCTGTATTTTGCAAGCAGTGCAACAGGCTGTGTAAACTAATATTCTTTGATGTAATACTTAGCACTTCAACCCCCAGAATCCACCAGAAAGGTGTCAGGGAGCTTGGCTCAGCAGACTCGGGCTAATAGGTAATCATGTGTGCACAGCTAAACAAAATATACCAAAATGTAATAAAGGGGCCACCATTCACACCCTTCGTGATCTACCAGCATCAGCTTTGAGAGCTACTGGTAGATCACGATCTACCTAATGGGCACCCCTGCCATTGAGAATCTATGGGGCATTGCCATGAGAAAGATGAGACATGAGACCGAACAATGCAGAAGAGCTGAAGGCCGCTATTGAAGCATCCTGGTCTTCCATAACACCTCAGCAGTGCCACAGGCTGATAGCTTCCATGCCACGACGCATTCAGGCAGTAATTGCTGCAAAAGGGGCCCAAACCAAGTACTGAGTACATATGCATGCTTGTACTTTTCAGAGGTCCGATATTGTTCTATGTACAATCCTTGTTTTATTGATTGCCTGTAATATTCTCATTTTCTGAGATTGACAAATCACGGCTTGAATTATCTTGCTTTGCATGTAATGAGTCTATCTCATATATTAGTTTCACCTTTTAAGTTGCATTAGTGAAATAAATGAACTTTGCACGATATTCTAATTATTCGAGTTTCACCTGTATGTGAGCCCTGTTTTCAGCAAAGGAGTATCTTATTCAGCTATTATCAGCCTTGCAACATTTC